TAGGTGGGTAGATGGATGGATGGATGCATGGAAGAAAGATCAGAAAGACAGATGGATCCATGGGTGAATGGATGGAGGGAAGGGTGAGTGAATGGACTGATGGATGGGTGGGTAGATGGATGTGTGGTTGAACTATTGGAAGTATAGATGTGGATGGGAGAATTTGGAGGTAGTTGGATAGGTAGATGGGTGGGTAGATGCATGGGCACATGGGTGATGGATGGGCAGATTGATGGTTGATTGGGTAGAAGGATGAATTGTTGGATAAACAGATTAAGTTGTGGGTAAATGTATGGAATAGATGGATGTGTGGTTGAATTATTAGAAGGGAGGATTAGTGGATGGGTGAATTTTTGGATAGTTGAATTGATGTTTGGGTGGGTAGATGGATGGGTGGACAGATGGATGGGTGGATAGGTAGGCAGATTGTTGGATGAATGGATGGTTGTGTGGTTGGATTACTGAAAGGATGGATGAGTGAATAGGTGGATTTGCGGGTAGTTGGATGGATGGGTGAGTGAGTAGATGGATAGAGAGATGGTAGATAGACAGGTAGATGGACAGATGGACGCATGGGCAGATGGATGGATGGATGGGTATGTAGTTGAAATATTAGAAGGATAGATGAGGGATAGGTGAAATTTGGGGTAGTTGGATGGATGGGTGGGTGGTGGATGAAGGAAAGAGTAGATGAATGAATTAACAATTAAACAGATAGATAGATGATATAAGCTGCCCTAGACCTGGGCTCTCTGACCCTTTGTATCCCCTTGCACTCTCTATGACACCTTTTCCCTTGTGGTGGCAGAACCTGTTCCACTTCGTGACAGATGTGCAGAACAATGGGGTCGTGAAGATCCCAGATGCCAAGGGTGATGACGCCTGGAAGGTTTACTATGATGAGACAGCCCAGGAGATTGTGGATGAATTTGCCATGCGCTATGGTGTCGAGTCCATCTACCAAGCCATGACGTAAGGCTGCAGGCTGAGATGGATGTGAGGGCGAGGTTCAGGAAACTAGGGGGAGGAGTGGTTACCAAGAGGACACTTACAAATCTGGGATGGAAGGGGTTCCTGGGAGGAGAAGCCTGAGCGGAAGTGAATGTGATGATGGTTATGGAATTTCCCTGAAGGTTAGGAAAGTGCCATAGCGGGAGGCTAGAGTGAGACAGATGGAAGCTGGAGATAGCGGCAGAGACAGGGCAGTTCAGAGAGGAGACAGAGAAACTCAGAGGACAGAATCAAGCAGAGGGAAAACGAACGGTTTGAGGGGCTGGGGGAAACCATCATAGAGGCATTCTGGGAATTGGACACCAGGCTTCTCATTCCCTTCTACCAGCCACTTTGCCTGCCTCTCCTCCAAGTACATGTGTCCTGGGGTGCCTGCCGTCATGAGCACCCTGCTTGCCAACATCAATGCCTACTACGCACACACCACCGCCTCCACCAACGTGTCTGCCTCCGACCGCTTCGCTGCCTCCAACTTTGGGGTCAGTCCCAGGGGCTGGGGCCTGGGGATGAGAAAGAGCTTGACCCTGTGCTGGTCAGACCCCAAGTGATTCCCGGATCCCCAATCTGGACCTGACTTGCTGTGTGACTTTGTACCAGTCACTTCCCCTCTCTGAGCCTCATTTTATCCCTCTGTAGAATGAAAATGGGTGTTATGAGGGGTCAGTTCAACAGTGGATGGGGTACACTTAGAGTATAGTAAGCACTTAGCCAATATGGCAGCCACACTGAGCTGCTACACTTGACTCCCAAGTCCCTGTCTTCATCCCGCCTCTTCCTCCTCTGCCTCCTCAGAAAGAACGCTTTGTGAAGCTCCTGGACCAGCTGCATAACTCCCTGCGGATCGACCTCTCCATGTATCGGGTGAGAAGTGCATGCCTGATGATTTGCTCACCCCATGCATGTGTTTGCCTGGAGGGAACATCTACCAGCAGGCATCCACGTGGGAGAACCCTGCTTAACATGTAGAATGTGTTCCTCTGACACATGTACACATAGGCCCAATATGTTTGGTGCATCCAAGCAGACACCCCCCAGTTACTTCTAGGTGTTCTCATTGACCCCTAACATATCTCCTGAAATTGGGGGCTCTTGTGTCTCCCCTATAACACTGTCTCCCATCATCCTCCAGCCTTCTTTCATAACCCCACTTCCCTTCTCCCTTCTAATAGAATAACTTCCCAGCCAGCAGCCCAGAGAGACTCCAGGACCTCAAATCCACTGTGGACCTTCTCACCAGCATCACCTTCTTTCGGATGAAGGTGAGTAAAGGGACTCAGTCCCATTATCTCTCCAAGAAGCATACTCCAGGAGTCTTAGTTTCTGAACCAGTAACATCCCTCCTGGAGAACAATGCCCTTTCTCAGTGACCCTCCACTTTCATATTGCTGCAACATTTCCTTAAATCCAAAACCACTTGTAACCACTTCCTGGGTACCTTCTGTCCCAACTATGCACAGCCATGCCCATCTCCCTTCCTCTTTTCAGGTACAAGAACTTCAGAGCCCACCCCGAGCCAGCCAGGTGGTGAAGGACTGTGTAAAAGCTTGCCTCAACTCTACTTATGAATACATCTTCAACAATTGTCATGAACTCTATAGTCGAGAGTACCAGACAGACCCGGTGAGGACTCCAGATGAGGCAGAAGGGACTAGGGGACTTAAACCAGACCCCAGCTCAAGTTCCAGTTCTGCCTCTTTCCAAGTGATTTAACTGTTCTGAGCCTCAGTGTCTGCCTCTGTAAAATGGGGTCATAAACTCACATCTCAGGATTGAGAAGGAGATTCAATGAGATACAAGCTTTAGATAAAATATAGTCCAGTGCTTAGCACCTAGTACAGAGTAGTGGCTCAATATATTTGGTTTTAGTTAAACTTAGTTGAGTCTGACATAATACTATGTGCCTGGAATAGAATTACTGTTCAATAAATGTTGAGTTGAACTCAATTTACTTGAGATCTTCCAACACATTTACACATGTAATGTCCCAGGGTTGTCGGTAAGATTTCAAGGAGCTTATGCCTTATTAGGGAGGAAAAAATGTATAAATTGGAAATTTACAACCCAAGGTGATTAGCACTGGGATGGAGGAATCACAGGAGGCTGTGGGAGCTGAGGTGGCCCCTACTTCAGCCTGGGCTTCTGATAGGAGATGACACATAAAATGAATTCAGTTCAATTTTATTTCATTCTGTTCATTTGCATTCATTTGGCTTGAGTTGAAATCAAGTCACTCTTAATTGATTTGAGTTGAGATGAAGTGGATTAAATTGGATTGAGTTTAGTTCAACTATAATCAGTTTAGATCCACTTACTTCTGTTCACTTGACAAGTTAAAATCGCTCCAGTCTAATTGGTGAGCATCACTGAGTTAGACTGAGTTGAGGTTAATTGAGTAAAAAATTCATTCATTTCCATTCAGTTTACTTGAATTCAAGTTGTTCTTGATTGACCTGAGTTGGCTTTGAGTTAGGATGAACGAAGTTGTTGGCTTAGGTACAGGTGCATTCAACTGAGTTGGACTCATTTCAGTTGAGTTTAGCTACTTTCATTTCCACTGATGGACTAAAGCTGGATTGAGTTGGCCTGAGTATGTTAAATTGGGATGAGTAGGTAGAGTTGGATTGGGTTGACGTGGGTGAGTTGAATTCAATTAAGTTGGGCTGGGTTGAGTTCAAGCCAATTTATTTACATAATTTTGAGTTAGGTTGATGTTGATCTTGGGCAAATTGATTAGGCTCAATTCAGTTAGGTGCATTTGAGTTTAATTCAATCCAGTTAAGTTTAATTCCACTCATTCAGTGTAACTGGCCCAAGTTCAGTTCCACTGAATTAACTCTGATAACTTCCATCTGTTAAGCTAAGTGGTCCTGATTTGCATCCATTTCAGTTCTGTTTGGTTTAGTGGGCTTGAGTTTATTCAACTCAATTCAATTCCATTCAGTTTTATGAGTTGAGTCTAATTAAGCTTTGTTGAACTGTGTGGATATGAGCTCTGTTTGGGCCAGTTTACATGAGTTCAGTTCCTTCTCATGCAGACTTCCCACCTGAAACATATACATGTTAATGGGGCCCCTTCCTCACTAATCTCTCGCCCCTCAATAATGAACTGACTGAGCCCCTCATGCTTGGACCCTTTGTGGCCAATGTCCCCACTGTCCTTTCCAGGCCAAGAAAGGGGAAGTTCCCCCAGAGGAACAGGGCCCCAGCATCAAGAACCTCGACTTCTGGTCCAAGCTGATCACTCTCATAGTGTCCATCATTGAGGAAGACAAGAATTCCTACACTCCCTGCCTCAACCAGTGAGTTGTGTATCTGTGTACTTAATTATCTGGAGGTCACTGTGAATGTGTGTGCAGTTTTGCGTCTGTGCCTTTGTGTAAAGGCAATCATATCTAATTACACATAAAATATGTAGGTCAGGGCAGATGTGGGTGTGGTTGTGCATGGATGGAGTATGGCATAATTTGCAAACAAACAAAATTGTGTGTATGTATATTCAATCACTGGTACAATCAGACATGCATTTTGTATGTGTTGATTTGTGTAACAGTGTGTACCTATGTAAATAATTGTGTATGTGTGGGGGGGTTCATAAATAACAACAGATAGTGTTGCTCAAGTATTTACTATGTGTTAGATACTCTACTAAATGTTTTACATGTATATTACATTATCACTTGTATGTATGGATATAATTTGTGTGTAGTTGTGGTCTATGGGTTTAATTGTGTATATCTGTACAGATATGGAATGTGCTTCAGTATGCAGTGTTGTGTATTGTGTGATTGTGTGCAAATGTGTGCACAGTTTTGGTTTGTGGATTTATATGTCTTCAGAATTTTCATCTCTGTTACCTGAATGAATTTTTGTGTTTTTTTTCTCCTTGAGGTGCACACTAGAAGGGCTTCTAACTCTGGGATGCCAACATTTCTTGTTTATTTAGATACAGAGTTAAGATCAGGGATTTTGGATGGATGGATAAATGGATGTATTAATAGGTGTATGGATAGATCGGTAGAAGGATGAGTGGGTGGATAAAGGAATGGATGCATGGATGGATGGATGGGTGAATAGATAGATGGGTGGATGAATGGATGTGTAGATAGATGAATGAGTGGGTGAATGAATGAATCAAGCGATGGGTGGGTGAAAGCTAAGAGAGAAGCAAGGTCTCAGTGCATAGTCACTCAACAAGTCAGTATCTATAAGTGAACTTGAATCCAGATCCCTTGCCTGTCCCACACTACCCTCTCAGGGTTGGGAAGGCCAAAGCAGCCTGAACCATCTAGTTTCTGTCTGCCAAGGTTTCATACGTCCATGACCTTCACCAGGTTTCCCCAGGAATTGAACGTGGGTAAAATCAGTGCCGAAGTAATGTGGAATCTGTTTGCCCAGGACATGAAGTATGCCATGGAAGGTGAGTCCCCACCACCCCCGTATCTCCCAGCCTGGCTGCAGCAGGTAGCTGTGCCTCAATGTCCCCTCCAAGGCTGTGAGTGCCCTGGACCCTCATGCCTGAGGTCAGACACCACTGATGGCCAGAGTGGGCACTGCCATGACAGAGAGTAGTAGACCCTCCTGTCTAAGCTGCCCCCTTGCTTCTCTGTCCAGAGCATGACAAGCATCGCTTGTGCAAGAGCGCCGACTACATGAACCTCCACTTCAAGGTCAAATGGCTCTACAACGAATATGTGGCAGAGCTTCCTGCCTTTAAGGACCGAGTGCCTGAGTATCCTGCGTAAGTCCCCTGCCCCGAACTCAAGCTAGAACTGTAGCGCTGACAGCTAGACTGAGGCCCCTCGGAGAGTGGGGAGTTGACCTCTTCAGGGTTCCCTGGACATTGGGGACCTGGGTGGGGCACAAACCCAGTGTTCTCAATTCTCAGCCATTGTACTGTGGACTCCTATAGCTAGACAATTAATAATCACAAGTTTCAGGAACCTTGCTGAACAGTCCCATTTGTTTTTTCTTATTTAATCCTATCCTTTCGCCAATTCTGTGAGCTGGGAGTGTTGTAATTCCCATTTTGTGGATAAGCAAATAGAGGGTAAAATGCAGAAGGATTTGCCCAAGGTGACATCCAATTAGTGAGGGAGCCAGGATTTGAACTCAGGATGTCTGACTCTTTGGCTGTGTTGGAGAGCGAGATGGTGGTCACCACTAACCAAGGACCTACTATGTGCTGTGTCAGGATCTCAGAGAGTAAACCCACTTGCCCACGGGCAGTTTATCAACCAGGATTTCCACACATCTGAGCCTTGCTCTGACAGTGGTCACTTAGTCCATTTCATGCGTGAAGCAGCCAAGGTCTGATACCGGAGAGGAGTGAGGGAGTAGCCATTCAAGGTCATAGAATGAGCCTGAGCAGAGAGTCAGGGGGACACGAGATGGTAGGGTCTCACCCCAGCTCTCCATTCCAGGTGGTTTGAGCCCTTCGTCATCCAGTGGCTGGACGAGAATGAGGAAGTGTCCCGGGATTTCCTGCATGGGGCCCTGGAGCGAGACAAGAAGGATGGGGTGAGAAGGCTGATCTACCACCAAGATCCCAGTCCACCCACAGTGGGATCCAATCTGGGGGCAAAAAATGCCCTTGAGATGAGACCAGTCTCTGAAAGTTGTCAGCCATCTTTGTCTTGTTCACAGTGTTGAAAGTCTTTTGTGCACCCAACAAATGAATGAGAATTGATCAAGCTTGACCCTTCCCCCTACATCCACCTCTAAGTCTTGGTTCTAAGTTCACCTTGTACAGTATCCATTTCACTATTATCCCAGGCATTTGGTCTCTGGCTTTCCCCATGGAGAGGAGGAGGATTGGGCTCTGGCGACTTTCGGGCTCTGACCTCTCTCCTCCCACCTGTCCTCCCTCCCGATGCAGTTTCAACAGACTTCAGAGCATGCCCTGTTCTCCTGCTCCGTGGTGGACGTCTTCTCCCAGCTCAATCAGAGCTTTGAGATCATCAAGAAACTTGAATGTCCTGACCCCCAGATCGTGGGGCACTACATGAGGCGCTTTGCCAAGGTTCGGTAGTACAGATGGGGTCCAGGCAAGGGATGGAATGCGGTCAAATTTGGGGTTGAAGTTGAGGTCAGGATTGGGGTCAGGATTGGGGTCAGGATTAGTGTTGAGGTTGGCACTGGGATTGAGAACAAGGTTGAGATTGGTGATATCACTGTTACTGAGGTGGGGGTTGAGGTTAGTGTTGAAGTTGGTCATGCCATAAGAGATCGGAGTTGTGGTTAGAATTTGAGGTTGGGCTTTGGGTTGAGTTTAGGGCTGGCGGTGTTATTGAAATTGGAGTTGAAGTTGAGATCAGAGTTTGGGTTGAGGTCGAGTTTGAGGTTGGGGTTGAGGTTAGGGTTGTGGTTAAAGTTGGAAGTGAATTTGGAGCTGGGGTCAGGGTTAGGGGTGGGGCTGAGGTAGGGGTTAATTTTAGGGTTACTATTAGGACTGGGATTCAACTGGACATTCATGGTGGAGTGTTAGGATTTATGTAGAATGTGAGCAGGTGTGGGGGTGAGTCTGAAGTTTGAGATCATTGGATTGGGATTGAGGTTCAGTTGGATTGGCTTTAGCCTGGGTGAAACCTGAAGATTGCAGGTAGGAACTGAGATTCCATCTGGGATTGAGTCATGCTTGTGTTTGGGGTTGGTTAATATGATGGTTGGTTGCTCTGAAAAAGAGCTGAGTCTGTATAAAATAATCATCTTCATCTGGTGATGTCTCCCTTTGGTCATGATGGTCATCTTGGTGGAGAATTCATCCAACCCAGTGGTCCAGTGCTAACAGGGGTTTAGGTTCATCCCTGATCTCACAGTAGCTCTTGATGAGCCCGTTGAGCCCCAGCCTCTTGTCTCATCCAACTTGTGTGTCCTCCCCAGACCATCAGTAATGTGCTCCTCCAGTATGCGGACATCATCTCCAAGGACTTCGCCTCCTACTGCTCCAAGGAGAAGGAGAAAGTGGTGACCTGCGGGGGTCCCTGTCCTGTCCCCTCCATACCCCCAGAGCTCTATCCTTCCCTGAGCTCTGATACCTGTGTCTCTGTGTGTGTCCAACTATGTGTTTTCGTGTGTCTGCCTGAGTGTGTCTTGGCGGGGGGGGGTGGTGTCTGGAGGTGAGAGGACATACCTTCAGTGTGTCATTGTCTGGTTGTTGTGAATGAAGACTTCAGGGTGAATGTATGAGATCTTATAAAGTTTTGAGCCCTTATATAGAAATATGAGTGTGTAGCAAGAACTCTCTTTCCTGCTATTCTCAAGGCCCAGCCCCACTCCTGGACCCATAAGGTCCAGCCCACCATGGTGGGGGAAGTCCTCCTTCCTCCTGTTGGTCCGCAGAGATCCCCACTCCCAACACTCCCAGGAATCTGAAACCAGATGTTGTCTTCCATTCTCAGATGACCCTAGGGAACCCCAGCTTCCTCCAGACCCAGACCCTGTAACTATCTGAGGTCCCTGGCAGTAGAGGGAGGGAACGTTCTGTGGCAAGGTCCTGAGCCCTGACTCCCTGCTCTGTTCCCATCCTCAGCCCTGCATCCTCATGAACAACACTCAGCAGCTGCGAGTTCAGCTTGAGAAGATGTTCGAAGCCATGGGAGGGAAGGAGGTGAATCAGGGCCCGGGCTGGATCACCATCATCCCCATGTCCCTGCATGCCCCAGAGCTAGTCCCTGGTGAATTCCAGCTCAGCTACTTCTTCAAACCCGAACAAGAGGCTTAACCATCTGAGCCTCAGTTTCCTCTCCAGTCCCTTGGTCTCCCTTTCCCTGAGTTGGGTCCCTTTCCCTGGACTGGATGGGGAAATGCTCCATACATGTGGGTGTCCTGTAAACCTGACCTGATGTCCCTTCTCCCTCCTCAGCTGGATGCTGAGGCCAGTGACATCTTGAAGGAGCTACAGGTGAAACTCAACAATGTCTTGGATGAACTCAGCCGGGTGTTTGCCACAAGGTAGGGGCATTTCCAGGGCTGGGAGCAGAGGGGAGAGGGCAACTCCGAGACCTCTGAGCCTAAGGCATCTGGAGACTCAGCAGATGGAGTGGAGAAGACCTCAGGCTAGGAGCTAAACAAAGCTTGAGTTCAATCCTAGCTTCACTGCTTACTAGCTATGTGGCCTTGGGTGAGTTGTTTCACCTCTCTGAGTCTTAGTTTGCCCATCCATAAAGTGAGGATGCACATAATAATAGTACCTGAATAGGACTCTGTGATGAAATGAACAACATAGGTAAATGTCAGCCTCCCACCCTAGCTGTTATATGCCATGGCTCCCTGATGCATGTGATGAAAGGTTCTCAGCTCAGCCTTTGTGGCCTCATCTGGCCCTTCTTCCAGAGGCCAGGAGAGTCTGGTCTGAGCTCCTACACTCTGTGTCCCCAGCTTCCAGCCTCACATTGAGGAGTGTGTCAAGCAGATGGGCGACATCCTTAGCCAGGTGAAAGGTACAGGCAATGTGCCTGCTAGTGCCTGCAGCAGCGTGGCCCAGGATGCTGACAACGTGCTTCAACCCATCATGGACCTACTGGATAGCAAGTGAGCCAAGCTGAGTGGACAGGGTCTGCCATGGTGGGCTCCTGGGTGAAGCCTCAGAAACTGGGGGCTGGCCTGGAGAGGATACTCAGGGCATGTTTTCTGGGTGGTGAATGGTTTGGATGGGTGGGTGAGTAGAGACATGAAAGGATGGAATAATGAGTGGGTTAATGATTGGAAGGTTTAGTGTGTAAATATTTGTCTGGATGAATGGATGGTTGTCGGATTGATAAATGACATGAAAGATGGGTGGGTGGATGAATGGGTAGATTAAAAGATAAATGCTTAGAAAGCTAGATAGAGGGTATATGGGTAAAAGGATAGATCCATTGATGGACAGATGGATGGATGTATGACTAACTGGAGGATGAGAGAATGGATGCATGAATGGGAGGATGCAAGGAAGGACGAATGGAAAGAAGAAGTGATGGATTAAAGAAGGTTTGAGGGATGGGAGGGTCATTTGCTGAAAGGATCATGGTGGATTGCCCTCTCTCAACCCCATACATCCAATCATGAACTCTTTGTTGTTTTCCCTCTCAAGTCTGTCCCCCTTTCTACCATTCTCATCCTCTCCTTTCTGAGCATGGCCCCAGCCCCTTCATAGTCCCTGGTCTCTAGCCTTCCTATTTCAGTTCATCCTCCACTTTGTTCTTTCAGATAGGAAAGTCTGGCTGTCTCTCTCTCTCTCTCTCTCTCTCTCAAACATTGCATGGATCCCCGCTGCCCTCCATGTTAGGGCCCAAGCCTTCCTCCTAGGCTTTGAGGCCCCTTCCAAGTCTGACCTGTCCAGGCACCATTCACCCTCCTCTCATGCATTACACATCATAGCACCATCAGACCACCCAGGGGGTCCTTGTCCAGGCTCTGTACACTTTTGCATGTCCATGGAATGTGTTGAGGGGAAGGCACTCCTTGGGTCAGGGCCAGCTGGGCCCTCTCTCAGACTTTCCTTTCGTCCCTAGCTTGACTCTCTTTGCCAAAATCTGCGAGAAGACGGTGCTGAAGCGGGTGCTGAAGGAGTTATGGAAGCTGGTCATGAACACCATGGAGAAAACCATCGTCTTGCCACCCCTCACTGACCAGACGGTGAGGCCCGCAGGGGGCCAGAGGGAACACCTGGGCCACCCCCTCTGCGGGAGCCCAGACAACTTGGTGTCAAAGTCTCTTTGGGCTTAGAGGTCATCCAGGTACAAGGGCCATCTGAAGGTTCTAGAAGCCACCAGAGGTCAGTGGGGCCATTGAAAAATCAGAGAGTTCACATATGGGTCAAGAGTCATCAAAGGGTAAAAGAGGTCATTCAGGGGTCAGTTATTTAAAGGTCAAAGAGGCCAAATTGAGTAAAGAGATGTCTAGGGGGCATATGGGTCAAGAGGTTATTCAAAGGTTAGAGATCACCTAGAAAACAGAGGTCTGCTTGGGGATCAAGACCATCCATGGGTCACAGAGGTTATGGGGTCATTGGGTTCATCAGGGGGCTTTGGAGGTCAATCAAGAGATAAGAGGAGATACCTGGATTCAGAGATCAGAGACCAATAGAACAGAGGGCTTCAGAAGGTCAACCAGAGGTCATGTAGAGTGTTCAAGGTCATAAAGGTCAAGCAGAGGTCCATGGTCATCCAGAAACCAGGACTGTGCCTCTGGGACCCTCTGGGAACAGCACGGAGACAGTGATCCCCAGAGATCAGGCTTCCAGGTGGGGGATGGGGATATCTTGGGAGGAGTTGGCTGGTGTGGTCCCCCTGGAGGCCTGAGGACAGCGGTGGCATGGGACTGATGGCCTAGCACAGAGTGGGAGGACGTTCCTGGGTGGACTGGGGAGGCTTTGGAGGGTGAGTGGGGGCCGCCTAGGGGCAACCATGGTTGGGGAGGTTCCAGACCTCTCGCTGCCTGCCCACTTCCCCAGGGCTGGGCTGGTCTGGGGCACGGGATCCGCCCCTCGGTGCCGTCTCTGCCCACCCCCCTGGCCTTCCTGGGAGACTCATGGTGACTTATTCCCCCCTTCCCCTACCACCCCGCCCCCATCACGGCTGACAGATGATCGTAAGTAGAGGTCCCTCTGTCCGTCTGTCTGTCCGTCCGTTCTGTGTCTGGACTCAGCCCACCACGTGGCTGCACCCCCCCCCACCCAGAGCCCCCTCCTCACCTACTGGCCCCCCTACCCACCGTCCCACCTCCCGCCTAGATGTGCCTGTGTCTGTCTGGGGCGGAGCATGGGGAGGGGCGGGGCTGGGAGGGAGGGAGACCACGCCCACCCACCCCAACCCATTTTAAGTACTCACGAAAGGCCTCCGCCTCCCCAAAACCTGGTCAGCACCTTCACATCTGCACACGTCTTTTAGTTAGAATCACCCTTACTCTCCTGCTCCAGGATGTCTGGGTCTCTCCCCAGAGCTTCAAGACAGTTCAAAGTCATGGAGCTACACTGACCTCTCCTTTGGGCTCTGAACTGTTAGCAGCCACCCAAAATAAAGGCCCTCATTACCTGGGTCCCTACTCAGCTGATCAACGCAGACACCTCACCACCACCCCTGCCCATTCTACTCCCACCACACATACAAACACACAAGAATCCCAGACACACACCCAGGCACCCAGGTCGGGGATAATGTTGTGACTGGTGTCAGGCAGACTTGGCGTCAAATCTCAGCCCAGCTATTCTCTCTCTGTGACCTTGGGAAGTCACTTTACCTCCCAACCTCCATTTCCTTGTCTGGAAAAAGAGGTTAATTGTAGCAGCTCTCTGATGGTTGTTGTGAGAACCAAATAGGATGGTGCATTAAAGTGTTCAACTCAGTGACTGACTGAGGCAGTGCTCACTAAATTAGAGGTAATATGGTAGTGGTGGTGGTGGTGTGCAGACACCTACGAAGGCAGAGATCAGTTAAAACCACTTTAGAATCTTCTTTTGTGGGCCAGACGAGGCTGTGACAAGATTTCACCTTGTCAAAAGTTTCCTAGTGCTCATCTGACTTCTTGTTGGCTGCAGTCTGGGTCTTTGGCTGTAACCACGTGGTGGCAACGTACTCAACCACAGACAATGCATTTGTGGGCAGAGAGCTAGGAGAATTTACATTTATTGAGGGTTTCCTGTAGTACAGACCTCATAGCTGTTGTTTCAGCTCAGCTTCATGACCATGCTTTGAGCAAAATGGCTATTATTATTCCCATTTTGCAGATGAGGAAAGCTGAGACTCAGAGAGGAGGAGTCACTCAAAGCCAGATAGTAAATATATGTCAGAGTCAGGATTCAAATTCAGGTCTCTCTGAATATGAAGCCCATTTGCTTTCCTATTGACTCAAGAACCAAGAACCTCATATATACAGTAAATGTAAATGGGTAATATCTTGGCAGTGACTTCTCTCCTCTCTCTCTGGCTCTGTCTTTCTATTTCTCCTTCTCTCTGTCTCTTTCTCTTTCCTGTCTCTCTAACTCTCTCTTGCCTTTTAAGAGTCAGTCATGAAGGCACACATACAATCCCCCCGCAGCCCAGTCACCAGCCCCCTGTACAGTGCAGCTGCCCTTTGCTTCCTATCCCCATGAGTACCTGTGTTATCACCTTGGGTTCCTACCCCATACAGCTTGCTAGGTTGATCACCCTGTGACGTTGTCTCTGCAGGGCACCCTCTTGAGAAAACATGGCAAGGGATTAGAAAAGGTAATGAGGGCCTCATTTGTGCTGAGGTCCTGAGCTCTGGTTTCTGGGCGTTTGTGTGTGTGTGTGTGTGTGTCTATTTACATGGGCAGAAAGTTCAGCTGTGGGTCATGGGTAGGAGGAGGCAGGTGTCCTAATCAAGTTCCACAATGCTGGTCAGAGACAAAGTGATTTCCCAGGGACAGGGCTTGGAGTGTGTGTAAGTTTGTGCACAACCATCTCCTATCCTCTCACAACTACACCTAAAGTTCTTACCCCAGTCCTGGGCTTGGCTAAAATTCCATGGCTT